TGGAATAGGGATTATAAATTCTAATTCTATAGTATGAGACAATGTATTCATGTAATGTTTAAGAAAGGTTTTGTAAATGAATTCCAGTAGTTCATGGATTAGGGACCCAATCTTATGGGTTCCAGGGGCTTCTGTATAGATTATTTAGGTTAATCTTTCTATCTACCCAATGGGACTCAGTGCTCAGTCTAGAAGATACCATCAGAGATGCTTAATTTTGCAGTTTTCAAACTGTGGATTTGTGTCTCCAGAGATAACATGCTTGTTAACAGCAAAAATGTTCTTAAATAAATAATATATAGAGGTGTGAAATAACAGACCACAACCCTATTGTCCCTCTGCAAATTTGTGTACACAAAGTCAATCCCTTACCTCTCGCTAAAAGTGGAAGTTTCAAAAAGTTCAATGAATAGAAGATTGTTGGGGGTGGAATAGATCTGGACAAGGAGAAGAAGTCTGGAGATAAATGTGAGAAGGGAGGGACAGGCAGTAGAAACAAAAGTGAAACTGTTTGAGCAGCATATTCCAGAAGTCTTGAGTTCTTTCTGAGTGTAGCCTTCATTGATTTGAGATCTACCATACCATTCTCTCACTAGAAGGGAAAATCTATAATGGCAGCAGGCTGTAAAAGAGACCCAATTTGGGAATATTTTAATGAAGTTCCTCTACCTGTGGGTCAGACAGGCATGCATGCAAAATGCAAACAGTGCAACAAAGAAATGCAAGACCTGGTTGCCCGAATGAAACAACATCATGAGAAGTGTTCCCTCTCAGGAGGAAGCTACGTTGAAGAAAGGAACATATCTGAATATGCAGGATATTTAGGTTGGATAACTTTTTTATTTCATATTTCTTTCTTAAGGACTGCCTGTCTTCCTTCTGGACTATTCTTGAATTCTCATGTTTGAGCAAAAAATATAGTTATTACTCTATGGTACTATCATTTTAGATGCAGTTGTGATAAAAAATAAATAGCTGAAATAGATAGATCTTCCTTTTACAATTTCACCTTTAAAGTAGTACTGAGTGTCAGTGAATGCAATGAGTAATACTAAATGAGCAGTATGGTAATAATAATTAAATAACTGCATTGACTTATTTTGTTTAGGAGAATCCACCCTCAACATACTGGATTCTGAAGACTATCCACCTTCAAGATCACCATCATTTTCTATAGTTTCAGAGTTATCTGCCAATGATAGTGTTTCAGTCACATCATGTATGTCACATAGCCACAGTATATCACCTGTAGCAAAAAGAAAAAAAAATCTCCATCATCCAGAAACAACCATAGATAAGTGTTTGATAAGAACCAGCAGATTACAAAAAGAGGTAATGGATGAAAAAATTGCTTGCTTTGTTTATGCAACAAACTCTCCTTTCTGTATGATTGAGAACCCAGACTTCATTAACATGGTTCAGTCACTAAGGGCTGGTCCACACTGGGGCGGGGGATCGATATAGGAAATGCAACTTCAGCTACGAGAATAGCGTAGCTGAAGTCGACGTTTCCTATATCGAACTAAAAGTACTTACTTCGGGTCCACGCGGCGCAGGCAGGCTCCCCCGTCGACAGCGCTTCCTCCTCTCGGTGAGCAGGAGTTCCGCAGTCGACGGGGGAGCGCTTCTGGGATTGATCTATCGCGTCCAGATGAGACGCGATAAATCGATCCCAGAAGATCGATCTCTACCCGCCGAATTAGGCGGGTAGTGTGGACCAGCCCTTAGACCAGGATACAGTCCACCCAACAGAGCAGATGTCGCAGGCAAATTGCTTGATAAAGTGTATGAAAGAGAAACTGAGCAGTGTGCGAAAGGTCTAGAGGGTGAAATTGTTAACCTGAGTCTTGATGGGTGGAGCAATGTCCACAATGATCCTGTTGTATGTGCTTGTGTGACAACAGAAAAAGGGAATGTCTTCCTTACAGAAACAATTGATACATCAGGAAATGCACATACAGCAGAATACTTACAAGAAGTAGCAGTAAAAGCTATAACAAACTGTGAAAAAAAATTAAAATGTCTAGTACGTGGCTTGGTCACACACAATGCCACAAATGTATCCAAGATGAGAAGAAGTTATTTAGAAGAGAGTTCCAAGTTAAGAACATATGGTTGCAGTGCTCATTTGATGCACCTCCTAGCCAAAGACTTCAGTGTTCCAGAAATAAAGGCTAATGTTGTTGAAATTGCAAAATACTTCTGTAACAACCACTTGGCAGCAGCTGCTCTGAAAAAAGTGAGAGGAACCAAGCTATCTCTCCCACAAGAGGTGCGATGGAACTCAGTAGTGGACTGTTTTGAGCACTATATCAAGAACTGGCCTAATCTGATGACAGTTTGTGAACAAAATCGTGGAAAAAATAGATGGCACTGTCACAGCCAAAATTCTCAACATTGGGCTTAAGAGAAATGTTGAACACATGCTGAGTATCCTGAAGCTTATTTTTGTAGCCTTGAACAAAATGCAGGGAAATAGCTGTTTTATTGCTGACACTGTTGAAATTCGGAAGGAACTGAGTGAGATCTTAAAAAGAGAAATATGCAGTGACAGAGTTAAATTATAAGCATTAAAAAAAATGAATGGGACAAGCACTATCGCCAGCTCATCTTCTTGCAAATATTCTCAAATATTCTCAGGGTCAAACCTTAACTGCTGAAGAAGAGGAATTGGCTATGACATGGACATCCAGCAATCATTCCTACATAATGCCAACTATAATAAACTTCAGAGCTAAGGGTGAACCATTCAAGAAATATATGTTTGCTGATGATGTTTTAGAGGAAGTCACACCAGTGAATTGGTGGAAGTCACTTAAGCACGTGGATTCAGAGACTGTTGAAGTGATAATCTCACTTTTAACAGCAGTTGCTTCTTCTGCTGGTGTAGAAAGAATATTTTCTTCCTTTGGACTAGTTCATTCCAAATTGAGAAATTGTTTGGGACCTGAAAAAGCAGGAAAGCTTGTTTTTCTTTTCCAGATTATGAACAAACAGGAAAATGAAGGTGAAGATGACTGAGTTAGCTGCAGAAGCCAATATTTTAAGTTTCTCATGTTGACCTGGCTGACATGGTCATTTTTTTTTTAATATTTCATTTAACTATTTTAGTTAAAAACAATTTTAACAAAAACAAACCTGATTTTAAAAAACTTGAATGTTTAACTAAATTCAAAAAATCATATGCTTGTTTTGTTAAAATATTGTATGTTTGCTGTTGAAGAAAAAAATCCAGAATATATAACGTTGTTTTAGTTAAATAAAACAATTTAAATGTCTGTCTGGTGATGTTCTCCTCCTAATAAAGCATGGCAAGAAAATCCTCCAAATATTAATGATTAGCCTATTGAATTGGAGATAGTTCACCTCCCAATGACTTCATAAATATCTGCTTCATTTACCTTCTAAAAATGAAAGCTACATCTATTTCTGAGTTGTGAAGAATATATATTAAGGTTATAACAACCAACAAGAATGCACTTTTATGTAGAAATCCATGATCAAATCAAGTCTTCCTGACTAGTGATTTAAATCAATTTCATTTTGATTTAAATTAAATCCACCCTGGTTCTGACCAGAAGAAAAAGTGTCTTTACTTGGTTATAAGTTTGTTTTAAAGAAAAGGAAATCTTATATCCTGAAGTAAATCTGGTGATCGAAGTAAAAAAGAACACAGGCAAAGAAAAGAATTCAGTATTATAAAGAAAGTCTGTGGCAGAAAATGTCTGCACACTTATCACCATGAAAATCTAGATTACATACTAAAGTAAATATTCTGGGGCAGTTTGCAGTCTGCCTGGTAAATAATATCAAAATTTAGAACTCCTCCACAGCAGAGCTTGTAGAAATGTTTTTGTAATCATATAAGTTAATGTTTTGCTTTTTCAGTTAGCTATTTACTAGTTGTTTCATTTTGCCAAAGTATTTTTCTCTTTTTTTCCCCATACACAATGAATTGACCAAACTACAATAATCTTTTTCCATATCAAAGACAGTTTTACTATCTGACTGCCATCCACCTCCAGAATTTTTACATGAAGATAATAAAAGTCAAATGCTTTTGCATAGGATGACATTTTCACCACTCACTTCTCAATCCTAAGAGTCTCAACCTGCATCAGAACCAAACACCAAAAAACTATCATCTTACCTCGTTGGAAAGATCACACACATTCAGGAAGCCTTCTCAAACAACATGGATCCACTCCACCTATCACCACTAGCCCACATGCATTCCTAGAGTTCAGTACATTCACTCATCAAGAAGTTCTGGACATTGCATGAGTGTCAACCTGAAACTTGTGAATCCAACCCATGATCTTCCTGGCTTGTGAAAGAGTCAAGAGCAACTGGTACCATCCCTGGCTGAAATAAGCCAATATCTCATTCAGAAAAGGAATCTTTCCTTCCTACTTCAAACATACAACAGTCCAACCAACACTGAAGAAACCTACCCTGGACACATCAGTTCTAGCCAACTACTGCCCAGCGTTAAATCTCCCATCCCCTCAAGAAAACTCACAGAGAAGCTAGCTAAAGGCCAACTACAACCTCATGTAATTGAAGCTAATATTCTAGACACCGCACAATCTGGATTCAGGCCAGGCCATGGAACTGAAATTGTTTTGGTGGCACTGATCTCGTCAATGGATAGGACAGACATCTATTCTCATCCTATAGGACCTCTCAGCAGAATTCAACATTGTTGACAATAAGATGCTCCTGTCTCACCTGAGAGAGGTGACAGAAGTCCAGGGTAATGCACTAAAATAGTTTAAATCCTTCTTGGAGGGACACATCCAATGAGTCGAGATAGGAAACTGCAATTCCGCCACTCAACCCCCTCACTTGTCAAGTCTCACAAGGATTAATTTTCAATCTGGTCCTTTTCAGCTTCTACCTGCAGTCACTAAGTGAACTATTCAGAAAACACAGACTTAAGTGCCAGCAATATGCTGATGACACACAGATACACATATAACCACACCCCTACCATCAAGATGACCATGATGGATGCAAGATGGCTCCTGGATGCGAACAACTGGCTGAAGCAGAACCTGAGCAAGGCAGAGGTGATGCTAGCGGGCAGAAGAAAATATTTTCAAGAGTTTTCAGCCATGGTGAAGTCTCCTTTGGTTGAAAGTACATACCCACAATTGCTCAATTCAGTCTGATGTTTAGGAGTACTTTTAGATTGCTTGTTGACACTAAACTTTCACATAGCAGCATCCACAAACAACACTTTCTTGCCATCTCCAACTGGTTGTGTCTCATTCTGGTGGACAATGACCTGGCCTTAGTTATTCATGCTTTCAGGATCTCTTGGCTAGATTATAGCAATGCATAATACCTGGGCATGAAACCTTCAGTGCTCAGGAAACTCCAGCTGCTATAGAAAGCTGTAATACATCTCCTCAGTAACATAGGCTACTACAAATACATTAAAACCTGTACTACCCTTAAAATCTCAAATCAAGTTCAAGGTTTCAGTCCTTATCTTCAAGACACTCCATGATTTGGGCCCAGGGTATCTCCAAGATGAAGACCATAGTCAACAACTTCACTCCTCTGACACAATGGACCTCTCTACAAAGAAGATAAAGCTCGTTTGTGTGAAAGACATAACTTTCTTGGGGGCCAGACTGAGACTGTGGAATCAACTCCCCCCCCCAGGAACTAAGGACCATCACAAACTTCACATTTCTTTGACCTTGCCTGAACTAACATAAATACATAGCAACATGTATATTAAAAACATCCTAGCAAAATAAGACTCTCCACTGTATGCATTTCTCCCTCTGGGGAGCAGATGAGAGAACACACAATACATGGCAGATGGTAGTTACATCACTAAATGCACCACTGGAAAGTGATCAGATACTACTGTGATGAGGAGTGTGGCACACAAACCCATGTAGAATACAATGTTCTTGGAAAATCTTCATATTCAGTGTATATTACAATGTACAATATACAGTGTATATTACTAAGCATTACGTTAGTGTTATCTCATCTGACTTTTGTGGTTTCTCAACCTCAGGAAGACCAATTACAGACCTAATTATTCTCTTACCCATTCCACTCAACAACAAATGGTGAACCTATGCCGTCTTATTCCATAGACAAATGTACTTAATATTTATCCATTATCTCTAATATTACTCCTGGGGAATTGTGTGCCAAAAAATTTAAACTGCCCAGTCCATCCCCTCCACCCCAGGGGCGATTTACATTTCTATCAGCTGCTCCGGGCACCCAAACCAACCTGCCTGTACTTCCGGGGAGGGATGCGTGACCAATCGTGTCTCTTCCCTTTGCTTCCCTGTCAGAAGTCAATTTTCTGCGGGGAAGGAAAGAAATCTGCGGAGGACATGAATTCTCCACATGAGCTGTGACGCAGGATTCCCCCAGGAGAATAATTTGTCAGTGTCCATTGCACATTGTACTGAGGCACTGGAAAATGTCTCATCAGAAGAAACATACTGGAAGGGTAAAACCTGGTAAAAGTCAAGTGGAGAGCTAGTGGCTACTGCTTCTGGTTAGAGCCCTCTGAGCTCTGATCTGGTTTTGTTCACTTTTACACAGCTGTTTAAAGGAAGAGAGACAGATGGGTTTGTTTCAAGATTTGTAGGTTTCATATAAAACAGGTTTTATGAAATCTAGTACTACAGGAATGTTTGAGAAATTGTGCGTAAAATATTACCAACATAGGTAAGCTTGAATTTGAACATTCCACATTTTCCACCTACATATTTTTTACAACCCACAGAGTGCAGCATTGGGCTAATGTAAAAGCACTAATAAGTGAAAATAACTGGTCTATTTCTATTTTCTGAATATAAAACAAAAAGAAAAAAATCATGAATGATTAAAAGTATTTTATTTTTATAAAGACATTAATAACAATAATCTAAAATAATATTTTCTTGCTAATGTTACTATTTCTTTTTATTTGTAATGAGTCCTTTTAAATATAAGCTCCCGATATGATTTTAAGAAGTCAGTTTGGGCCATTTTCACTATATAGAAGTTGTCAACTAAAATATATTAACTTTAGATACTTTGTGCTCCCATTGCATGTGCACACATCAGCAAGGTGAAGTAAAACAGCCACCAGAAAGAAACTTTTATGTATTATAGGACATTAAGAAAAAATATATTGCCAATCCTATATATCCTTGCCTCACAGAGCCTACATTCAGATGAAATGACTAACATCTGATGACAATCAAAAGGCCTCCTCCACAAATTTGTGAGTAACACAATACACACTATTCATTCTTTCGCCAGGAGATATCCCATCACTCCAGTGGAGCTCTAGGCACCTAACCTAATATGGAGGAGCTCAATATTAGATTCAACGCTAGATCTACTATGAAAGCAAAACAGTATTTCGATATTTACATTAAACTGCTCATTTCAGATATTCCTGCTAAAATTCAGACATCTCAGTAATATACATGAAACAACACAGAACTCTTTAGAGATGATTTTGAGAAATTCAAGAAACTCAAATCAAGATTTTGTTCAGAATCAACTGAGAATCAATAAAATTTTCCCAGACTGTGTGTTTTCTGAAGCACCAAAATCCTGGTAATCAGAGTTGTAACAGAATATCCCCGTATACAGACTTATTTTTTACATTTTTTCTAATGCATACCAGATTTTCAGATTTTTACCTGATGCACTGTCAATTCTTAAACTTTTTCTGGAAGAAATTATTTCAAAAATAATGCTAGCAAAGCTCTTTTTTTCTTTCCTTATGAACTCCAAAGCTTTAAAACGTTCAAACTCTCTACCTCACAAACTGCCTTCAATGACCACTTTCCTGATTTTCTTTTACATATCTTGGTTACAAAAAGCTAAGTGAGATGCTCAAAACTTAATCTAATATATATACCCTAAAAATAGAACATAAGAAGTGACATTTTGACCGTGAATCTTTTTCAGGGCTGAAAGGAAGAGAAATAAAACTAGACTAGCTGAATTTTAAAAAGGAATTTCAGAGAAAATGTGAAGATGGGAAAATGAAAGGCAAGTAGACTGGGAGAAAACAAAACTGGGAGAGTGGGCACATTTAGAACATGGGTTTAATATACTTTGGCCACATCCAGGCTTGCCAGCCAAACGGAAACAGTAACTGGTTTTGATTAAAGTATGTCTAATGCTTAGAATCTTAGCTCCCAACCAAATGTATATGGGACTTTCAAGTCTTATTGGGCCCAATGTTCAGAACTGCCTCCACGCAAGCACACATACAATTGCAGTAACTGCTTATGTCCAAACAATCAGTTATACATCTATGTAGTTACTTATGCATGCTAGCACCAACTGTCTTTGTGCCACCCATTTAACGCTGTGTGCAATCACAGTAAACACATGTACAATTAAGCTTGTAAATTGTTCTGGAGCTCTTGGGTACTGAACAGAAAAGTTAAATAAAATAAAATGTTATTATGGTGAAGCAGTAGCTAACAATCAGAAACTAGAAAATGGTAGAGAATGTAAGAGTTGGTATAAGGAGTGTGAAATGTAAACAAGAATGGTCATATTAATGAAGAAACACTGGGTATATAATATTTACACAAAGGTAGAAGTAGTGAGGATTTTGACAGACGACGTAGCGGGCTTGGAGAATCCACTACTTCAGACTCATTTATTAAGTTCAAATTTATTCATAGATTAATAGACTTTAAGATCAGAAGGGACTATTATGATCATCTAGTCCAGGGATTGGCATGGTTTGTTTACCTGCCGCATCCGCAGGTTCGGCCGATTGCGGCTCCCACTGGCCGCGGTTCGCCACTCCATGCCAATGGGGGCTGCGGGAAGCGGCGTGGGCCGAGGGATGTGCTGGCCACTGCTTCCCGCAGCCCCCATTGGCCTGGGACAGCGAACCGCAGCCAGTGGGAGCCGCGATTGGCCGAACCTGCGGACGCGGCAAGTAAATAAACCGGCCCGGCCCGCCAGTGGGCTTACCTTGGTGGGCCGCGTGCCAAACGTTGCCAATCCCTGGTCTACTCTGACCTCCTGCACAATGCAGGCCACAGAATCTCACCCACCCATTCCTGTAATAAACCCCTAACCTATGTCTGAGCTATTGAAGTCCTCAAATCATAGTTTAAAGACTTCAAGGTGCAGAGAATCCTCCAGCAAGTGACCCATTCCCCACACTGCAGAGGAAAGCGAAAAACCACCAGGGCCTCTGCCAATCTGCCCTGGAGGAAAATTCCTTCCCGACCCCAAATATGGCGATCAGCTAAAACCTGAGCATGTAGGCAAGACTCACCAGCCAGACACCCAGGAAAGAATTCTCTGTAGTAACTCAGATCCCACCCCATCTAACATCCCATCATGGGCCATTGGGCATATTTACCGCTAATAGTCAAAAATCAATTAATTGCCCAAATTAGGCTATCCCATCATACCATCCCCTCCATAAACTTATCAAGCTTAGTCTTGAAGCCAAATATGTCCTTTGCCCCTACTGCTCCCCTTGGAAGGCTGTTTCAGAACTTCACTCCTCTGAGAGTTTATACTTCTTTATAGAACAGTTAGCCCCACAAACCAACTACCTTGAAAAATAAAATATTTAAATAAGTTAAATTAAGTCTATACACTAAACAAGACAAGGTATTAAGAATGCTGTCCAAGGCCATGTATAGGTCACAGAAGTCACCATGATGTTTGATGATGTGGGAAATAATACGCTTGAGGTGATTTCCACTTATAACTGCTTCAGTGTTTTCACTGAATTCATCTACAAACCTTCCTTATGTTTACACACTCTACTTCTGCTATAAAATATATAGTGAAGATTTTCCGAGAAGCACAAAGGAAGCTCTGATTACTTGGAAAAAAAACTAATGGACTCCACCTATAGGTTATATTCAGATTAATTTGGATGTGATACAACAAATTCTGTAAGATGTGGCAGAAGTGTGAAGATAAATGAAATAGTAGTTTGAAGTTATGTGGTCTAAACCAAGCAAAAATGGACTATAAGAGTTTAAATGACTATACAGAGAATCAGACAAAATTAGCATTACAAAAAGTTACACAGAAAAATCTAAGAGAGAAGTTATTAAGGGAGACAGTCATATAGGGACTAGAACAGGAGACTGGGAATCAGGAGACCAGGATTTTTATTCCACGCCTGCTATTGACTCATTATATGACCATTAGCAAGTAACTTAATTTCTGTATCTCAGCTGTACAGTCTTTAAAATAGGAATAATCCACCCTGGTAAAGTGCATTGAAAGAGTAAAATTACTATTTGCTTGATAAATTGACAAATCAGGTGCGTACATTTGCCACAAAATAATAAACGTGTTTTTCTTTCTTTACTTAAATGCAGTAATACATTTAAGGTTTTAAAACTATGTGCAAAGTTTTCAGGGGATACATAGACTTGTAGGCACTTTATATAACTGTTCTATAGAGATCTGATTGGTCCTTCAAGTGAGATTTGCAAGCAAGGCTGACAAAGAAAAAACACCTAAAATAAAAGAGAGCAGGATGCTTGAGCAGCTATATATTTTCCCTGTGCCAGAGCTGGCCTTGCCTATTCTGATCTAGCAAGATACTGAGCACATTACAGAAGGGGCTGAGAAGTTACAGGACAGACCCTCTGAATGGACAGCTGATTTGGAGAGTCAAAGGAGGACACAGCGTCCCAGGTACAACACTGGAATTCTAACTGTGGCATATTAAAGAAAAAAATCCAATTAAAAAAAAGACAAAACTAGAAACAAATTAGAGTCAAAAGAGTAAAGGACTGAACACAGCAGCAAAAAATATGTATTAGTAAAAGACAAACATACAGCTGATTTCTAGGGGCAGGAGAACAGAACAGGCTCATTATAGGACAAGAGCAGCAAAGTTGTTCAGAGGAGTCACAGTAGTGGGAATTGTCACAAACCACAATGGTTTTAGGCTGAAAAAATATAATACTCAGTTCTATATTGGGACACGGGTGCCAGCCACTAGTGTAGATATGCTGCAATTGTATAAACCATAATTTGCATGCAGATAGTGCAGTTTTCCTCAGTTTGAAACTGGGCTGATACAAGTCACTTTTTACATGGGTGAATGCAATGTTGTCTACATTAAGCGGTTTCCACCAGTGTGCAACTACATCAGTCAGCTACACCAGTACAAACAACCCACATGTAAACATGGGTTAAAAATCAAACTAAACTGAAAACATGCCCAGGAACAAGCTAAAAATAAGCTAGGTAACTGAAGGAGGAGGGCAGAGAAATCATGACGTTACCCTCACTTGTAGGAATAACACAGCAAGTCTTTTCTGAACAGTAAGTGCTGCGTCTGGACAAAACTCTTCCAAAACACGATCTGCAAAAGTACCATAAGTAAACAGACCAATCTATTTTGTTGTTCTGACTGTAAAATGTAAGCTATTTTAGTTAAACTGTATTGAATAGTACTGCTCCCAAGACCAAAGGTTGGTAAAAGGCTTGCTGTGCACCAGCAATATTTATCCAGCTAGAGAATGGAAGGTTCCACTGACTACTTGGGAGGAGGGGGATAAAAATTACACCATGTATGTATGGTGAGGTGAAGGTGACTCTGCCTAAGGAAGTTATACTGGGTTGGTAGAGAGGGAAATGGAGGGCTTTCACTGTGTTCCTGGAGGAGAGAGGAGAGAATGGAGTGTGTTTCCAGTATTGTAAACTCTCACAATTTTATCACAAGTCTCATGATATCTGTTGGCATTTTTTCTAAAGCCCTAGCAGCTACTGAAATCAAGACATTCCATGAGAATCCCAACTTTAATTAAAAAGTAAATTTCTAGCCCTCAAGGTGGCAGAGAAAAACATGAAACAATTAAGCAAGTGTACCCTAAAGGCTAAGAAACCAAGAGGCAAATAAAAAGAAACCACAACTTATTTATTTTTTTAAATTTCATTATTATAAGCAAATCTCATGATTATTTTAAACACTTGGTGGGACTGGCAATACTGGAGGTCACTGTGTCTTAAGGGGAAAATGGAGCAAGGGTTAGCACTGCATCCAGAGAGAGGGGAGATGAGTTGGGTTATGCTGGTTCCTGGGATACAGTTACACAGTGTGCCCTGTGGGGAAGGAGAATGGAAGATGGGGATGGGTTACCCCATGCCACGGCCACAACGGCAGCATGCGTGTGCCAGAAGACAGCAAGGGTACACTGTTTCCTAGCCATGGGGGTAGCATGTGTGTGCCAGCGGAGGAGGCGTTACACACTGTGCTCGGGAAATGGGGGCAGCCTGTGGGTGTGGGGTGTGACATGCTGTGCCCTGGCCATAGGGGCAGCCTGTGGGTGCGGGGTGTGTATGTGTGTGTGACACGCTGTGCACTGGCCACAAGGATAGCCTGTGGGTGCAGGGTGTGTGTGTGTG